ACACTTATATTTATTTTTGTCCCTATCTTATTCTACATAACACGAGCTTTCGTTCTATGTATCATTCACTAGCATACCTTTTTTTTTGTTCCGAAAATATTGTAATTTAAACATAATATTTTGCACTGTATTTTCTACCCTAATTCCCTGTTTCGGGCATAACTGTATTTTTCCAAATTACCATACGTCGTGGTCAAGATATTCACTTATTTATTCATGTACATTTTTGTACTAATCCGAATTCAGAGAATCCAGAGTTCAGTGTTCCAACTGTATTGTCTTCTTTCACGTGCGTGCTTGCCAACCGATCAGGTTCTAGAAAAGTTGTCTCTCTACCCCATCTCGAACTCACGCGTATTAGACTCAAGGTTAAGCCGCTCAGCCTAACGCGTCAAGGTCATAATTTAGACTAGACAGATCAAGGTGAAGCCATATCACGGGGTAAAAGCGATTCAAGTTCATAACACTTTCTCTACCTAGTATGCCGTCTAGCCTTACTCTAATACCTTGGCATCTTAAACCTGTCTGATGTCGTTGACGGTATTGTCTACTGATGGTAGGAAGTCACCTATAGTGATGTTTGTGTGCTCTGTTTTGACATTCAGATTATTCAGAGACCGTTATCAATGGAAGTACTCTTCAAATTCCATTACCCATATATTCCGCTGTTCTTAACCTTCAATTGTATCTCTTCCATCTTGTTCCTGACATCGGAAGTTTGACAAAACAGATGTTATAAAGCATTCAACATGAGAATTTTGACTGTATCTTTCCAACACTTGGTATAAATGATACTTCTGGTCAGCGGTATTTTAGTAAGGTTGTTTTCTACTAGATGGCATTGCTGATTCAATGGGCTATCCTCTTTCTTTCAAATAGGTTGTAACAAGACCATAAAAAAACCACTTCAAAGTAAAATATATAATATTTGAGAATAAAATAACCTATTTTCCTTTATTGTGGCATTCATGTTCAGTGTGCTATAACTATGTATGTAAGCGGAGCTGGAAGATGGCTAGCAGTGGAATCCAGCATGAGCGTTTCTTCCAATTTAGGACTCTTTGGATGAATACACTCGAATCCTAGAGTTCATGTTTGCTCCAAGACCTCAAACTAGCATCTTTTTTTTCAAATACCACCAAGTTACTTACACAGTTACTGAATTCAAACAATCATTGACTTGTGCAAAAGGGGGAGGAATTTCACTCCATTTGCGATAGTTAATTCAATATTCTTATTGATTTTAAAGATTATATTTGATCAGCCTCTCTTCAAATATGATAATACTATTTTGTTACAAGGATTAAAGAATAAAGTGTGTGCCCTGAATTCAACTACTAGCCATATTTCACCTATACAATATAAAAGTTTGTCATAAGAGCTAGAACGAAGCAATCTTCAAAGTAGGCTTGAATACCATGAGAGAGTATTCATTCGTATTAACTGGCAAAACCACATATGCATAAAATGATAGACATAAACACAAACTTTGTGTAGGCATACACTTTCGTTTCATAAAAAAAAGAAAACTTACTCACCTAACAGCCTACTTCGTTCTCGTCTTATTCTAAGCATAACAATAAAGAAAACTCATTAAAAAAAAACACAACTTTCAGTTATTGTGTAGGGTGATATTTGTGAAATAACCTATTGTTTTGTCTTTAGACAGTAAATTCTTTAGAATTATAAGATGATCGAACGATCGTAAGTTTTATGCTAAATAGGAACTAATATATATAAACTTGTGATTGTCACATATTACAGATACATATTGGTTTGTGAGTCTTATTGAACATGAAGCTCAATAATATCCACTGGTTATTTATCATTTATTTATACAGTAAGTGTAAATATTTCATTGTTCAATTAAAAAAACCCTTTTATATTTTATATAAGAACTTTCGTCTAAATTTGATTGAATAGTTTTACAATATTTGAGCATCAGGTTGATGTATGACATTGAGATAGCGGAGAAGATTTGTAGTTCAGGTGGATGATTTTGGTGGAGTTTTGTTCTCAGCACAAACTTCAGATAGACTTCTATCTGAAGTCGTTCAGAAGAACGATGAAAGCTTCACGATCAAACCATCCAGCTCAGAGAACAAAACTCCACCAAAAAGATGTATGACATTAAAGAGGAAGAATGTTGTATTTGTAAAATCTCAGTGAAAGAATTTGAAGTAGATCCAACATTTTGTCTGACAATCTTGTCTAAGCTTATTCAAGGAAATATAGTCAAACATTAAAATGATCGAATATAAATAGGGATATGATTCTCCGGTTCACTGTATTCTGAATAGGTCGTCAACGTTTAAAGTAGGTTGTTGCATTAGTGTGTAAGAGACATGTAGTGTGAAATGATAAGTGTTAAGATAACAGATTGTGTGTGTGTAAACTTAAGTGATTTCAAATTCACTTGATGATGTTTTACTTGTATCTTCCCATTGTTATTAAGGACTGTAATTGCTCAATCTCATGTTGACATATGTGCATCCTGTGTGGATTGCCTCGATACAGCCTTAAGTCACAAGCGTTTTAAGCAAAGATGATTTCAATCAATGATTGTAACTGAATGTTTGTGTTATTTATAATGTTCCAGTCAATTATTTAACATATACAGATTAGAAACGTTGAATGTAATTGCTGTTATTCAGATAATAAGAGATAGATGAAATGGAATAAGTAGTTCATGTTTACTTATTAATTATTAGTTGCCATGGGACAGCTAATTGTATTCCATTCCTCCTATTATTACTGTTTAGATTTGTCCATATGTGTAGGGCTTCGGCTATCAGTCTCTATTTGTAAGAATTAAAACCTTTCTGGAGGATTCTTGTGCCGTTGAAATCAATTGTATGACCCTATTCTATCGAGTGTAATGCTATCACTGATTTGTTCTCAAGTTTTCTTATATCATCTGAGGATTTAGGAATGTGCTTTCAGCATAGTTTGTGTTCGTTCACACTCACATTCAGTTGTCTTGATGTTTCACCTACATATGTGGAATTACAGTCACAACATTTGATTTTATAAACATAATTCCGTTGTTCCTCCTAGTGTATTAGATCTTTGGTTCGTACTAATTTTGATCTTGGAGTATTGTTTACTCGAAAGAATACCATTATATTATGGAGAGTTAAGATCCTTCTGATCTCTTCTGAAATGCTTTTCCGATATGGGATCATCACTGTGTTAACCCATTCTTTTTTTAATTATATCATTTTGTTCTTCATTCTTATTCTTTTAATAAAATCCTTCGGTTAACTATTCATTATTAGAATGGATATAAAAGAAATTCATTTCCATTTCTATATCACTTGATTCAGTGACAAGTGAAATAACCAAATCAAACTTTGTAACTACATAATGAAGAAGTTATTTAAAAAGAAAAACAGACTGTTTACAGATGTATTCGTTTTATGAATTAAGGATGATGCGATGATTAGACTAGAGTTATAACTTGTGGGTTTGTGCTCCTATGAATATATAACGTAAAGATAGCGCCAATCAGAAAACAGTGATTTATCGACAGGGCCAATCACGTGTAAACCCGTGCGACCAGTCTGGAGTCCTTATCGGCCCTTCTTCTTCCTGCCTAGCCCTGCCTCTTAAGTCTAGAATACAAATCTCAACCTCTGCAATATGAATCATTTATTTCAAACAGACTGGGTTTATATACCAACCAAACAGACCACATCGTAGGATAAAATAGGAAAGAACATTTGTACAAGATCTAGCCAAATGTGGCTATGAATGTGGGAGACTGTAATTAAGACTGAGCATAATTCAAGAATGGTAAATCGTACAATAACAGGTAATAGGTCAAAATGAAGCTTATGACAAGAGAAACACAAATATGAAAAGTTTAGTTACTTAGCAATTATACGATAAAAATATACGTATAGTATTTGTTCATAAATGGATCCCAACAGTTACCATTCATTATTCTCATCAGAATAGAATATAACAATTAGACCATCTCAGTAACAACATAATCATTCAAATATTTATACGCTATTGCTTCATACTGTATTCAAAACAACTTGTATGTTTATCTCATCATGTATATTGTCTGATTAAATCTTCCCACTAGTATCTAGGACTCTAATTAATTAGTCTATTGTTGGCTTATACTGCAACCAGTGAAAATTGATTTGATATTGTTATTGAGTTACAATCCTTTATTTAGAAAGCAGAAATGAATGGAGGCCAAAACTGAAATCAAAAATGTGGGTTTCATCCAATCCGACATTATTGAAATAATGTGAAATATCTAAACTGATTAACTGATGTGTAGTATGAAGTAAAAGTAATCAAGTTGAATGAATTCATTGAATTCTGCTAATATTATAGTCCCTGATTAGTTCAAATGGATTATAATGAATGAATAGTTGTTGTATTAGAGTCGAACTATTACTACATTTACATTTTGTGTAATCTACTCACATTAGTGATGATATTATGGTTGATTTCATTCAACCACTAGACATCTGCTGAAATCTATTCAGCATTACATAATCGTCATGAAGTCGTTATTTTCAATATCAGTCACAGATTACATTTCATTCTTGTGTAAGATCAAATTCAAACAGACGATTTCTATCAAATCTATGAAATTGGAATATGTCACATGAGAACTTTTCTCTCACAGACATTTAACGTCTCATATTTTTCAATGATGATTATAAAAGTTGACTGAATATTCACCAAATACTAATATTGATTTACATACTGAATCTTGAACTCATTACCATGTCATCTATATGATGACTATTAATGAAATTGAACAAGACATGAATACTGGTTACCATAACTAGCCATCATTAGGTGTGTCTTAAAAATACTTATGACCAAATGAGAATGTTGAGATTAACCTATCAGGTTGTATGTATGCCAAGATGAGACCAATCAATTACAGTACGTAACATATACAGTGAATTAGTGAAATCTGTACAAATAAAATCACTACAGATTGATGTAATTGTATTAGAATTCTTAAAATGCATATCAATTATGATTTGTCAGCTGATCTTACAATATGGCTTCTTTCAAATTCGGAATGTATTATTTCATTCTTTTATAACCATAGTTATATTGGAGACAGTTAGTGGATTCATGGGAAAGGTGTATTTATCGAGTAATTCGGATCCAAGTAAGTCATAATATGAAAATGACCATATTTGTAAATCTCTTAAATTCTACTGAATTTGAAAACATCTCAACTGTCCCCTGTGTCCTTCTAATTGATCAATTAATGAGAAACATTTTGAGATATTAATATATTATGATTATTGTTTTTCATGGGATAGCAAAATGTATATGATTGACTGTAGTTGTAATGGAAATGAAATGAGATGAATATGAGTGGAATGAGAAACTTGACATCAATTGTTCTTTGTGATAGTTGAATACATCTAGTTTGGTTTAACTGAGATTTCAGGCATCGCATGTACTGTGTCATCGATTTTACTCGCGTTAAAGCGTTTGTTTTGGTTGTTTGCGAATCTCGTCAAAATTTACGAAACATGTCAATCATGATGAGTTGAAGCCTATACTTCAATTGATTTTTTTTTAAGATTCCTTCCGCTCCCTCTCTAAAAATAAATCAGCACATTGGATCAGAGTGGAGTGTGCCTCAACTATTAAGGTTGTATTCAACATATAGATAGATATTTATTCTCAAATAATTATCTTATGATAATCATTCATGAATAACGAAGAAAGTTAACTGCAATGTACTCGCCCATCAACTGATTATACTCTCAAGTTTGTTGAAATGGACTAATTAATAAAACTTTATGTGATTGTGAACAAATTCACTTACTTTTGATGTCTGATTTTCAAGTATATTGTATTAGCCTTTCAAGTTGCTTGACACGAACTTCCATGAAGTATTCAATTGGAAATAGCTTCACTTTATAATATCATCTCTGTGAAGGAATATAATTTCTGTAAATGAACACATAATGTAAAATGAAGCTGATTTAAAATTTAAATGAATATCAATATCTCTCTAGTTCCATTCTTCGATATACATAACCTAATCACAAAGCTTGCATTTTCCTACTGGAAAAATATCACAATGTTGATGTTTGCATTGGGACTTCAGTCCAGTACTGATACACACATTTGAAATTCTTTAGATTGGATAACACTGGATATGATTGCCAATCACTATCAAGCATTGCTCAAAAATCTTTGTGGCTTTAAAGAAAAAGGAATTTATCCTTTCATGATGTGTATATATCAATAGTGACTCGTTAAGTTCTGTACTTAAATTAAACAACGATATGTTTTAAAGCCGTGCAAATGAAATGACTAGTTGATAATAATTTGTATAATATGTCAGGATTTCAATGATTATGGATGTGTCTTTATTCATCCAAATTATTTATTATTCTTGAGTAGTTCATTTTAGATTTTAAAAAATATCGAGTTGAATTCATGAGTTTATCTAAGCTAGACCGTTAGTGAAAACCTGGAAGCACTGAACGGCCGTTTTTTTCTAGTATAGGACTACTCAAAAGTGAACATCAATGACCTAGCACGTGCGACTCGAACTCAAGACCTTAGGTCTCGCATGTGAACGTTTATTCTTTAGACCACCTCCAGACCAATTTATAGAAAATTATTTTCTTTTGCATAGAATAAATTTATGTATAAGTGAGATATTGTGACTGAAAGTTTTTCCCTATTGAATAGTGAACAAACCTTTACTCCACATGACCTATATAGTACGATGTATTTTTAATTTTAATTTTACATAAGTGGCAATTCTTTGTCGAGGTTGTCCAAGCTAGCTATCTTTATCAGTTGTCTTTGTACATGTTTATTATCATAGATGATTCCATGATGTGTTCATATTTGGTGACGAATATATTAGAAATGTATTGGAAAACATTTCTAAAATGAAAGCAAAATGTGACCACTTCATTCGACAGAATAAATTTACTTACATAGCTATGAATTAGTTATTATAATTTGAAATGATAAGTTAATGAATCAATCATTCTTTGATAACTGTTGAAAATCAGGAAACACTTGACTATTGTTTCATCCAAAGGTAACGGCTTCCCACTAGAACTCCAGGAGTATCTCTTGAAGTCAGTCACTAGTGAGCAGATGATTATTATCAGAAGGGGTTTGTGGAGATTTTTAGAAATTTTCACAGTGGAGTACAACCAGGTCTGTTGTGAGATATCAGCTCACTGAAGACAATGGTATATGGTGGCGCAACTTCGTGGATTGGTTGAAGTTAGACATTAACACCGTTGGATGCCGGCTCAGTGGTCTAATGGTTAAGTGCTCGCGCGCGAAGCCAGTAGGTCCTGAGTTCGAGCTCCGCGTGGTGCGGGATCGTGGATGCGCACTGTTGAGGAGTCCCATACTAGGACGAAGCGGCCGTCCAGTGCTTCCAGATTTTCAATGGTGGTCTAGCTTCAACTGACTCATGATTTCAATCAGTGAAAATTTCTAAAAATCTCCACAATCCCCTTCTGATTCCATTTTGTAACGTAGATAATTGTCTCATATACAACATGATTACACTGTAACTCTTTTATTTTAGGATGAAACAACTGTGATTCCCCGTTTACAATATTTGTCATTCTGTAATAATATGTATATATTATATAGTCAACAGTCTATTTAAGTGGTATATACTAACAAGTAAACATAGTTTACAATAACAATTAGTATTCTGATAGGACTGTCAACATTATATCCAAAAATTGTAATGAAATAGATTAACATTTTTATTAGCTCTATTCTGTATACTAATTCCATTGTCTTCAAAAGTAACGTTAGACTGTATAAATTTTTACTTGTACCATTTTGTTTATATCTGTAGAGAATTCAGAAGGTACAACGTTCTGGTTAATACAAGAGCGTAAAGAATATCTATACTTTCAATGGATTCCATTTCAAAGAGAATATTATGGTGCTTTATTTCTTGAACAAGAGGATGATGTTTCACGACAAATGACAGATGATCTAGAAGAGGCAATGTTAATGACTGTTGCTCCAGCATGTAAAAATCAAAAGTACTCTCTGAGGCAATCAGTAGGCTATGCGATAGCTGGTTATTATGATAAAGAATCAAGGGAACTAAATTTTAATCGAAGTGAGTTTGATTATTTTTAAATTGAATAGATACAACTGAACATTATGAACGTAATTAGAATTATTCCACTCACCACTGATGAGAATTGAAATCTTTAAACAAATTACGAAACATGGAGAATTAATGTCAAGTATTCGAAAAACCATTTTTTTTTTTAATTAACCATCTTCATAAACTGAAGTCAATGATATCAGAATTTGCTAATCGTTTAGATGTGCACCTAAATAGGACAATTTATATCGATGGTTTCTATCGACTTAGATCTTTAAAAATCTTGTTGATTGATTCGGTTCACACGATAAGACTGTGATATTATGTAGTGTGTGCTACTCATGTTCACAGATATAAGTAGTATGTATCTGTTATATCCCGATAAGAATAATGGATGGTAACTGTTGGGATCCATTTATGAACAAATACTATACGTATATTTTTACCGTATAATTGCCAAGTAACTAAACTATTCTTATTCATGTCCCTCTTATTATGAGCTTTATTTTGACATATGAACTATTATTATACGATTTACCGTTCTTCGGTTATACTTAGTCTATTAATTACAGTCTCCCACGTGCACAACCACTTTTGGCTAAATCTTGTACGAATGTTGTTTCCTATTTTATGGTACGATATGGTCTAGTTGGTTAGTATATAAACGCAGTCTGTTTGGAATAAATGATTCATATTGCAGAGGTTGAGATTTGTATTCTGGACTTAACTGTCTAGACTAGGCAGGAAGCAGAACCGATTAAGACTGTAGACTGCTCATACAGGTTTTATGCGTCATTGGTCCGATTGATAATTCACTGCCCTCTAATTGGCGGTATTATCTCGTTATACATTAACAGGGTATACAGGCCAAAAATTAAAACAGTATCATTAATTAAAAGTAAAATACCTGAAGTAGAAGTTTAAGAAGATTGAAGAAGAAAGAACAAGAACATAGAATGATTACTACGTAAACGAAGGAACAATGAAGTCTAAGATGACTGATTAACATTTTGCAAATGAAGTATTTATGTTATGATTCTCAGATTTTACTTAGATATTCTGTAATTTTGTACTCAGATACAATCGATTGACCCCATTTCTGTCCTCGTGTAACTATAATTATATATATTATGAGTGTTTTGATATTTTGAAATGAACAGTTCTTATACCATGGATCTTATACCCATATATAACCATATATATATATATATATATATGTTATTCAATCGATTTTTTTCCTGGATCATTCTGATCAAAGTTTTCAGATTGGAACGAATTACATTTGAAACAAACGATGATAAATCTACCTCTTTAATATGGATAATTAATGATAAAATTTGTTCAACAGAAGATTTAATAATAATATTTAAAAAAGATTCAACAGGATTTCATCGAATGTATACTATTTCTGCTAATGAAAGAAATTATCATTTTACAAATGGATTACATGATGATGAACATGTTATTATTACTACTTATCATGAACATGCATTCGGTTTATCTGAATTAGGTAAATTTGTAATAGAATTATATTGATTAACTGATAATTTACTGAAATTTTATTAGTATTATTTATATTACTAAATTACTACTAATACTACTATGGTGTGTACTACTGATATCGACAGATATAAGTAGTAAGTCATATCAATCGAAAGTGAAATACTTAATGGCAGAAAGTTGTGAAAATCGAAGAGAAAAGAATGAGAATAGAGAGTGATTGATATGGAAATGAAAGGATAACAGAGTGTGAGACAATTGATTGATATTTTGCGAATGAATTATCTACTGTATAATTCTCAGATTTTGCTAAGAGATTGGTTATCCCCGTCTGTGTTCTCGTTCACTAAACTACAACTAATATATAAACAATAATAATAATAATAATAATAATAATAATAATAATAATAGTCATTTTATTAACTAATTTCGAGCTTTAGTTTACAAAGTTTTAGTCAGAAGACTTGAATAGTCTAGTTCAATTGTATCAGATGAGTGACTGTTATTCACTTCAAATAATAGGAATCGGTTAACACGATACCGCGAATTGATAACAGTTGGAGATGTACATCATATGATGCCGACTGAATGGTTTAAATGTTAAATTGTTGCAGCTAGATCCATAAGTACTTGATTAGATTCTATATGCGGTTGTTGCACAAAGACACTGATATTGAATGTTTATTAAGTAGAGTAAAACAACTATTCAGTGCCTCCCAATTTTCAACTGAATTATAACTAAATTTAATAAGTTACCACTTCTATGAAAATTTACAGTAAATGTTCATTATTGAGAGGGACAGTTCATAATCAACTTGATAAACACTATCATAAAGTCATATCCTTTTTCTCTGCAAGAACAGATTTCAGTGATATAGAAAATAGTGTTGTATTGGCTTTGATTTGTTAATCGATTGCATCGATAACCGTTATAATATAAATCTCAACGGTGCAGTGAGAAGCGGCAACTACAGTTTATTAGCGGATAGCTCAGATCACAAAGCTATAAGCAAATCGAGTGAATTTGAAGAGGAGAGGCGATTAGGTATAAGTGAGCAATTACGTATGAAAAATTTAGTCGAATTGCATAAGGGTGCAGCAAGGTGAAGCAAGAACTAATAATGGGATGATGAATCATCGAGTGATATTTCAGTAATCAACATTTTAGCTCGAGTCTGTCATATACTGTAATGATCATAACGGTACAGAGAAATATGCAAATGGTTACCGTTCAAATAACATTGTCTTCTAAGCAAGTTAATAAAAGGGCTTAACTAAAATTAACCATTAAAGAAAATGTTTGTAGGATAGTTGCTATAGTGTCAGTACTGAAAATATTCTATAAAAATAGTATAAATCTCCATAGAAAAGTGAAGATAAATTTATTGACTCATCGATCTCCATTTTAAAATGATACTTTTAATGTTCGTCATTAGTGATATTACTCACTGATTCTAGTTAAACATACCAAACTTGAATGGCTACATTCGGTTAAAGGGGCTTTCATTGAGTTGTATAGATGTCTTTATTGACATTGAGTAGTACATCGCTGATTACTATAAACAATTCGTTCGTATTATCGAAATAGTCCATTTTATTCTTATTAGAATATTACACTACTTCATGAAAGTCGGATAGGGATATTCAAATGACAGTTTATAGAACTCATCAGTTTTTCTTATCAAACTAACATCATAATGAAAATGAACGGGTTAAAATATGCACGAATAATGGACTGTTGTTTTTTCGATTTTCCCTTTTCTATTTATCATACCATGGAATGAAACGAACACTGAACAGTTGTAAGTTATTTGATATTATTAATTATAATTTATAATATAGAACACTTTTTACCGAATTTAAATATCATAGCTTAGGATGTATGATGATGTTAATTAGATAATCATTGTCAAGAAGAAGCCAGTAGTTGGCTGTTCCATTGAGATATTCAGTAATATTCATTCATAAACATAGGACAAACAGTTCTCCACAAATACTCATTGTCTTTACAACCATCACACAAGACAAACGAATGTCTTAAATCGGAAGTGTAGCCAATATTATTATTTATTTATCAGGTATACCGTTCTCCACTATCCGTTTTCCTCTTTATCACAATCTTATATATAGTTATACGGATGTCCAAAATGTGTTAATCTTTACTTACGTCTATCATGCATTATTTTCTTGAACACTTTCAAGTTTCATGATTTTGTGTTTTTCTTATTCCCACAGATACATAAAAGCAAATCTAATGTGACAGGTAATATCATTTATTATATTTTTGAGTGGCCAAAGTCGGGTTCTCTTTTCAATCAACTAAGTATCAATCTGTACATGAATTTGTATTTGCACACAACCTGAAAGCGTTATATCATATCTCACTCTTAGTATTCACATTAGGTAACCTAGTAATACAATCTTGTCATTACATAATCATCTTTCTTCAATGCATTTACTTTATCTCACACTAATTAAATACATACCATTGCACAGTTTGATGCGAAATTCGTGGAAAAGTAGGAACTCATTGGTGAATTTCATTTTTCTTTGAATAATTAACTTCACATTGAAAATTGTAACTGATCACTGAATACTCGTTAAACATCTCAGAGGTTATTTCAGCTTAGTATCGTCAAAGATAACGTATTAACACTTAAATCAGTTTGATCATGAATACTGAAATGAAGTCTCAAGAGAGATGAAATTCACATTTCATACTACATTATTATTCAAAGTTTAAATGGATTGAGTCAGTTCTGTTTGGTTATAGATTTTAAATCTTTATCTTAACTTAATGGAATCAATAAACGATAATTCACACTGAAAACATATCTCGATCATCATAACTCGTTAAGTGAACTCACTGTGTCAGACTACAATAATAATAGTGGCAGAATAAGAATTCATGGCAAAAAACAGGGTTTCCAATAGTAATACAATAAAGTTTAAATGAGTTTAACAAGATCAGTCATGTGTTGTGTTCAATGTCTTTAAACAGATATAACAAGATATCACAATTGACATTGTGATGGAACACTCTCATCAACATCATCACAGTTAAGAAAAAAGCATTATTGTTTAATCATCTACCATAAATTATTATGAAGATAACCATTTTTGTTGACATTGATATTTCTGATATGGTTGGAAAGAGTTGTGAAGATTGTTGAGTTACCATAGTTTACATTATGAGCTGATTTCAATTATTCATTCACTGAAGAGTAGGAAACACTGGATATCCATCTATTGAAGAATGTACAATTCTGGAGGAATGTGTTGCATACAATGTCCGACATTCTCTTTCCGAGTTCCATTCATCATCTGATTGACACATCAGAACATGGAATCTGGTTAATTATGATTTATTATAATACCTTTGTTATGAACACTAGTATATGATGTGAAGTATCACGTTTAAAGGTTAAAATGTGATTGTTATATTGATAAACACTGTTGAGCAGTACACAAGGGGTATTTGTACATGTGCACAATCTAGATGAATACTTGTACCCTACTGATAGAAAATATGAACACTTTCAACAATACCCGTTTGTAGTTTGATTACGTGTAATATAAGCATTGACAGAATGAATATGTTACCGAACAAGCTTTAGATAACGGTTAACGTAAAATGAGTGTGACATTAGCACATTGATCAGATACTAATTCATTAAAAATATTTGTCTGACAGTGATTATGAATTACACTCTATATGATTGGATCAGTTAGATGATTGGAATATGACCAAAGAAAATCTGATCATTTCAAATAGTTTGCCATATTGGTATCTTTGTCGACTTATTCAGCTATCATAGAACTACTGATTATTTCAACAGATAGTATGTTATCAGGATGGGTTTTGTGGAGATTTTTTAGAGATTTCACAGGTTGAAATCATGAGTCAGTTAAAGCTAGACCACCATGGAAAACCTGGAAACACTGGACGGCCTCTTCGTCCTAGTATGGGACTCCTCAGCAGTGCGCATCCACGATCTCGCACCCCGCGGGATTCAAACTCAGGACCTACTGGTTCCTTGAAAAACATAATTTAGCGTAATATATTTTTTTAAATTTCAAAATATCATCTTTTCATTAACCAATAACTACCTTCTTTATTGATCGCTTAGAAAATCTGGATGTGCAGAATAAAAGTAATTTGGGTAAATATATTTATGACAAATTTACATCACAATCATATGTAGTCTATTGTGTTGTAATCAGTTAGTGTGTCAGGATAACTTCAATTTCATTTCGGTTTAAGAATATTTGTTTATATCTGTTCATGTTGATGAGAGCAAGTGAGTGGACCAGTGTCCTCTATTCATTGTCCAATACATGTATCGTATTGGATATTAGCGGGCATCTTTCACTTCATTTCATCAGTGAATGTTTCTTATAAGATTGCTACTTTCGATTTATTGCTCATTTCGAGATCCACTGAATTCACGTGTTCATTGCAGATAGTTGTAGATAACTTCATATGCTTATATAGAAATCTTCAGTGAAATTTGTACTGTTCTATACAACACATATCCACTAAGAAGTATGCAGCAAATCACCCTCAAATCCTGAATACCACACATTTGTTAAACACTGACAAATGAATGAACATCCTCATTGTAGGAAGCATGGTAATCTTCTCACTATTCAGTTTCTATTTCTGGATTAGTGAAATAGATAACATGACATTTGAAAATGGTGCGTAATCAGTGAGCATACAGCAATAAACAAATTGCTTTCGAGTTTCATAATGTGAAACAATTTTGTCACTGATGTGTTCTATTGAAATTCGATGTAGTTAAGTGTTAGAATAATACATCAATTAAATTTTGTTTAATATAAAACTAATTCTATCATACTCTTGAATTTCACTGGTTGAAATCATGAGTCAATTGAAGCTAGACCATCATGCAAAACCTGGAAGCACTGGACGACCGTTTCGCCTGGCGCGCGACTGATAGGTCCTGGGTTCGAATCCCGCGGGGTGAGGGATCGTTGATGCGCACTGTTGAGGAGTCCCATACTAGGACGAAACGGCCGTCCAGTACTTCCAGGTTTCCCATGGTGGTCTAGCTTCAATTGACTCATGATTTCAACCTGTGAAATTTCTAAAATTTTCACAAAACCCATTCTGATAATACTCTTGAATATCAAATTAAGATGTTCAGTTTGAAAAGAAGCCTCGTTGAACAGTAACCCACAAGAATGTACTTTTTCGTGTAATAGAATAGTTTACATACGTATATCATAGAGACCCTGAATGACATGGTTCAAAATCGTTTGCAGTGGAGCAGGTGCATACATTCTTTGTGTTATCCCAAATTTAATCTCCCGATTCCTCCTTGTCTCTTTTTTCTCTTCCCAAATTTATTTCACTGGACTATACTCATTAAATAACATCTCCAAACCCTAATCTTCCCGAGTACTGCCTACACTCTTATTACCTCTACCACTACGGGATTTGAATCGACAACTGCATCTCTGTGCTAATGTGGTATGGCAACTCGAACTGATGTACGTACATACGAATTTGTTACTGGCTGACTGACTGACTTCATAAGTTAATAGAGAAAATTTATCTGTTAGTCACTCACTCTTATATTCATTTACATCTGAATGTTAGGTTTAATCATTAGATACTGAATCATATATGTTTCATTGTTTTCCGTACTTCATTTATACAAAGACCTATCTTGTTTTATTCGACTGAAAAATCCAAATCGCTTTTCACACAGATATTCTTAACCATCCAGTCAAATACTTTCAAAGTTTATTTCCAATACCATATAGATGATTTATCAATCCACTAATGACGACAGTAAAGTAAATGACAAATCATGTGTCATTCATGAGATGACAGTAGTAAACTATAATGTATATGAGAAATGTCAAAAACCAAATAGCATGATTAAAATATATCTACATACTTTGTGAACGATTAATTAAATCAGATGGAATTGGAATTGGATTGTCCAACTTTAAACTATTTATTCACAAACATGATATGCTCATACTCTTGTTAAGTAAATGAACGTTCTACACTGCTAATCTATGAAAATGATTTACTTCAAAACAACTAATGAACTACGCCTCTTCAAAAACTTGACCTTTATTCCACTGATCATTACATATTGTATATCTTACATGTGACAATATAATCATGCCCAAATACTGGCATGGCTTCTATAGTTATTTTCAGAAGATAATTTATTTATTAACATGTTCAAAAGGGAAATTGATTCACTTCGTTAATTTTCGTTCTCATATTCACAGGAAAAGAAGACAAGAATATTGGTATAATTGCTGCAGGTTAGTTATCCGGTTGAAGACGAATTATTGTTAAGTTGATCAATTGACAATAACAACTCATGTTAATGAAACATTTAAGATATTAGATAGACCATTAGTTTTTTTCATTGTTTGCAACACAATCTGATCTCCGAAAACCACCGGAAATGGTAAGCAACTGATAGCTAGTCCATACTAATTTTGCACTCGTCAGAACATCCTTATTTTCATTTGTGGCGTGGTAGTAAACAGATACTGTCGAGAGTTTCCGTACAAGGACGAAACAATGATACAAGTGTATACGCGATTCAAACGGTTGTCCATGTTGTATCAGTTTGTAATGCTAACTGTGAAGATTCAACAATCTTCACAAACCATTTCATACTACTACCCCCTTACAGTTTCCATTCTGATAGAGTAGAGCTGTGGATACCAGATTACTCTACTTTGGAAATTATGTAGACCATCCAACTGGATAATATTTTGTTGATTAGATATATAATCGGTTATTGACATTTATGTATAGCAAAGTGAAATCCATTTTATTTATGAAACTACATACAACATTTTGGTTTGATTTCGAACAGTTATACTAATCAAAGAAGTGTAAGACATCCACTCATACATATTTGATCTACGTAATGTTATTCAGGTTGAACACACTTAGTAGTAAGTTATACCCACCATCTTGATTAGACTGATGCAACGTGCGAGATTAGAAATCAACTCAACTAGCCTCATGGTATGTGGTGTTATTACTGAGATATTCGTGCCATGATTCACCTCTAATATGTATGAGATGGTTACGATTCATTCATCACTGAATATTGATCAATTTAATGTTTGCTATGTCCTTTATTTTCGATTAAGTTACACATACCAAGTTACAGTGTGACCACCAGTCTAATTCCATGCACGAGGTTGGTCATTGGTGACATTTACAAGTCTGATAGTTTTATCAATAACATCTACCAGATACAATTGTTTATACTTATGTAGAATTGTTGTTAGGCTACTGGTTTACCCATTATATACAACGTTTGAGAATAAAATCTATGTAATCATATTCAGTGAATGTACATGATAAATGGTGTCCACATGTTCTAAGAAGTTCATTTTACATACAACATTTTTATCATTTCTTATTTCATATGAAAACTTCAAGGCTTCTGGAAACCAGTGTAAGTCATGAGAATAATATTATAACTTAGTATATATTCTTCAGTTGATATAATTCAAATATACTCATTTTTTAACTTCAGACATAAATTTAGTTTCCAATTTCTGGTTATTCAAAGCGTTATTAGTAATTTAGATGTTTAACTCTGACTCGCGATTCTATGTGTTCTTCCATTCCACTCTCATCCTCTCACCTTGACATTTCCAAGTGAAAGCTCGTTTTGTACAGAGTCGTCTCCTGGTTTCCTCCACAACGCTTAAGTGATTTGTTCTCCGGTAGATTACATCCTTACTAATTATCAGTGGTCAATGAAAGTGCAGTATTCTGTGTAGACTGTGATTTACGAATACCTGTACTATTTTTGAGATGTGAGTGGCAGTTCTATAAATGTCAAATCTGTACCATACATCTGTTGTAACATCAGTTATGAGAATTCTGGCTTTAGTGATCGGTAATAATTGTCCTTAATTCCAGATCTCATTCGTTTGGCAGACTATTTACCTTACTTTGCCAGTTCAAGTTTTCATATCTGCACCAGAACCACTTTCGTTAAAAATGATGCTGTGCAGGGTCTTCTCTTACCACTGATGAATGTAAAGACCACTGTTACATTGTTTGGCGTTGTCTACATTTGTTGGTATGTATGAGATAGCGAGACTAAGTGTCTAGCATTAAATCTAATCCAGCTTTGTTTATCTTCCTAGTTCGATGGTAAACAAAGCCCTGATACATTAAGCACTTATGTTAATAGTAAATTTGTATATGTATGTAAATTAATATAAATTTCCTTTAAAAAAATATTCCCTGATAATTCATTTTATGCCAAATCATATGCTCACTAGTGACTGACTCCAAGATGATTTCCTGGAGTTCTAGTGATAAGCCGTGACAATTGGAGTCCAATCCGTGTCGGGTAAAGACAGGTATCTACCTCAGACAATGGATGAATTGTTGCGCAATCATTCATAGATCAATGGAAGTTAGACATTAACACCATTAAACATCGACCCGTTCTCACGTGAGACCGAAGGCTTTGAGTTCGAACTCCGCGAACGGGATCATGGATGAGCACTGCTGAGGAGTCCCATACTAGGACGAAACAGCCTTCCAGTGCTTCCAATTTCTCAATAGCGGTCTAGCTTATACTGACTCATGAATTCAATTACTAAATAATCATTAACTGACAATTCAATGTTCATTTTTGTTATTTATTCACTTAAGTATATTTTTATTCAATTATTTCATTTAGGATTATTGGAGTGCTTTATTTTGTCATCTGTATATGCATCATTCTATGCATATTCTTTACATGTAAACGTTGAATGAAATTGATGTCTCGTGTTATATAACAAAAGAATTCCTTGTGTATAGTCCATTTCATCATTACATATATATCCTCATAAATCTGTAATTAACTACTGTTATCTTCAAACTATTACTTCTCAGATGATTATTTTTTTACATTCAATTAAACAAATCAGATAAATATATAATTTAAATTGAATAGTCTAGTTTTACTATCTATTCATTATATTTATTTAATAAACATTTGTAATCAAAGATGATTCAATGAAGATATTTTGAATATAATCAAATAGGAGTTTTGTGGATATTATAGTAATTTAATACTTGAATTCATGAGTCGATTAAAGATAGGCCACTATGGAAAATTTGGAAGTATTGGACGGCTGTTGAGTCCTAGTATTGGACTTTTCAGCAGTACGTATCCACGATCCAGCTGGCGGGACTCGAACCTGGGACCTATCGGTCTCGTGTGAGAATGCTTAACCTCTAGACCACTGAATAGTATTGTACTTACTTACTTACGTCTGTTACTCCTCGTGAAGGAGCACAGGCCACTCACCAGCATTCTCCATCCAACCCTGTTCTGGGCAGTCCTTTCCAGATCCTTCCAGTTGTTATTCATCCTTTTCATATCTGCTTCTATTTCCTTACGTAATGTTCTTTGGCCTTCCTCTTTTTCGCTTCCCTTCAGGATTCCAAGTTAGGGCTTGCCTCGTGATGCAGTTTGATGATTTGCGTAATGTATGTCCTATCCATCTCCATCGCCTTTTCCTAATTTCTTCTTCAGCTGGAAGCTAGTTTGTTCTCTCCCACAGAAGGCTGTTGCTGATGGTATCCGGCCAATGGATGTTGAGTATCTTGCGTAAACAGCTATTTATAAATACTCGTACTTTCCTGATTGTGTTTGTTGTAGTTCTCCAATTTTCAGCTCCATACAGTAGAACTGCCTTGACGTTCGTATTGAAGATTCTCACTTTGATATTGGTTGAAAGTTGTTTTGAGTTTCATGTGTTCTTCAATTGTAGGAATGCGACCCTTGCTTTGCCAATCCTCGCCTTTACGTCTGCATCTGAGCCTCCTTGTTCATCGATGATGCTTCCCAGGTATGTAAAGGATTCTACATCTTCCAGAGCTTCGCCATCAAGAGTGATTGGATTGCTGCTCTCCGCTTTGAATTTGAGGACCTTAGTTTTCCCTTTGTGTATGCTGAGGCCTACTGATGCAGAGACTGCTGCTACACTGGCTGTCTTCATCTGCATCTGTTCGTGTGTACGTGATGGGAGGGCTAGGTCATCTGCGAAGTCCAACTCGTCTAATTGATTCTGAGCTGTCCATTGTATTCCGTGTTTTCCTTCAGATGTCGAGGTCCTCATAATCCAGTCGAACACCAGAAGGAGGAGGAAGGGAGAGAGTAAACAGCCTTGTCTGACTCCGGTCTTTACTTGGAATGCATCTGTCAGCTGTCCTCCATGCACGACGAATAGTATTGTAGATACGAGTTTTTTATAAAGCGAACGTGTTGTCACTGGTTGAATGTCAGTTTGTACCATCATTCAAAATGAGACATTAATTAAAAGTTATTTAGTCGTGATTTAGAACTGAACAGTGATTAATCAGACTTAACCATATGATGAGAGATATAGACAAGTGGGCGCTATACGTTGGGATTTGGCCTGACTTGCTGGAAAAAAAAACAGATAAACGTTACTGATTGAAACTGTGAAAGACATTTATCCATGTTTATGAGCCAGTTGCGCATATACTCCGTAAACGGTTATCCGATAAATGTTTCTTACACACTCATAATTTTCTCATTCGTGTATATCGGTTGGGTTTGTGTACGAGAAGTCTGTATTTCAGTGGTAGAATTCGTTGACCACAGATAGATATTTATATAAAATATTTGAGTCCAGTGAACTAATTTTGTTTTTCGAACAATAACATGTTTGACACTAATGTTGAGTTAGATATTTACACTGAACACTGATGACAATTTTCAAATATCTTGATCACTTGATGGTTTGGTCTAAATAGAAGTTATCACAATTACACCTCAAAATACGCAATCGATAATAAGGTACACAGAATCTGGTCACGAACAATACTGAATCTACACTGAAAACATCTTTTCACGCTTTATCAAAAATGAATTGGAACACTTGCTTTCTTTTCTTTGCTTTGATTTCCCACTTCTTATTCTGAATATCTGTGTGTATGAATGAGTGCTTGAAATAAATTCATCCAATGCAACACGTATTTGGCTTCTTACTACTGCCGTTACATAAATGAGATTAGTCTAGGCAATATACAGAGTTGAATAGTAAATTTGAGTTTATGGAATCTTTATATGTTCATTCAAAGTACAGCCAAATAAAATGCCACTAATTACTCAATCAATTCAGAAATGTAATCTCTCCGTTCCAATTATTGTAAAACCTGGTATAAAGTTATATTTCGTACTGATTATTTCAATATTAACAAAATCAACCAAACTAACTTTATAAGCAAAGATGGATAGTGGCTAGCAGTGGAATCCAAGACGCACGTTTTGTTCTATTTGGGACTCTTACTTACATTCCGGAGTTGAGGTTCACTCCGGGACTTGAACCCAGTACCGTTCACTTCAAACACCATCTCAGTTACCGAGTCTCGATACCCACTATTCAGTTTTGCTTACAAAACTTGTGACTTAAGGCAGTATCGAGGCAGTCCACGCAGTATGCACATATGCCAACAAGAGACTGATCAATTGAAGTCCTAAAAAACAACAGGAAGTTACAAGCAAACAATACCAAGTGAATTTAACTTTACTAATAATCCAAAATTCGCACTATATTATCACATAGATGTATTTACTTTAAATATGTCTATTGTATCTGAATTCATATTCTGAGATTATTTTCAGTTCAAACAAACACTAGTCAACCAATGATGAGGCATTCATAGTCGTCAGTTCAAATTACATTCAATGCATTTCAGCAAACTAAACTGTACATTCACTTGGTATTGTTTGTTTGAATCTTCCAAGTGCGGTTTGAGACTGCAGTTGGTCAGTCTGTTATTTACATATGTGCATACTGTGCGTATGCCTCGATATCGCCTTAATTCATAAGCTTTCTGTAAGCAATGATGGATAGTGGCTAGCAGTGGAATCCAGGACGTCGCGTGTCGTCCTATTCGGGACTCGTCAGCTGGATGTACCTGCATCTCAGAGTTGATGTTCACTCTGGGACTCGAACCCAGTACCGTTCGCTTCAAACGCCATCGCGTTATCTAGTCAGATACTGAGTCCTGATAGCCACTTGCTTGTGCAATGGGGTGAATTTGAATTCACCTGGTATTTTTTGTTTGTATCTTTCCATTGAGGTTTAAGACTGCAATTGATCAGTCTGTTACTGCCATATGTGCATATTGTGAGTATTGCTTCGATATTGCCTTAATTCACAAGCTCTATAAGCAAAGATGAGTAGTGGCTAGCAATCCACTTTGACGCGCGTTTCGTCCTGAGATGCGGGTACATCCAGCTGACGAATCCAAAATAGGACAAACTTTTTTCATAAATTAAAATGTCCAACTGTGATCTTTTCTTCTAAAAAAGATTTGACCGGTTTTCAGAGTTTATTTCTTAGCTTATATCAATAACAATTACCGCTAATCCACCACTATATATATTACGATACAAATCATCGCAACTAAGTAATATCCAACTACTTGTTATATGATAAATCAAGTTGGACTATTACCAATTGAGTGGTTAACTTTGCCCTTATTGTGACTGGAAACTAAAACCACATAGAATAGACTTTTATATTATTTACTGGTTGGATACAAAGAAGAACTGATCTTAAAAAATGTGGGTAAAAACTTCTAAGTGTTATTTTTTGTTAGTTTGAAAATGTCTTGAATAAGTCTTGATCTATGATCACATAAATTGTATACGTGATCATTTAGTTAGTTATGAGTAGTTTATAATCATATGATCGGATCAAGAAAGTTTACTTTATGCAGTAGGTCAGTTTTAAAAATTCTATAATATGAACGAAAATTTCGATTTCGTTGACTTATTCACCCGACGTATAACCGTTATGATAGTGTGGTGCGTGCTACTTAGATTGATATAAGTAGTATATAACGCGAGTCAGAAATGTACTGTCTGGCAGCAGAAAATAGGGAAGATCAAGAAAAGAAGAGCAGGAATAGAAAGCAATTAGTATGGAAATGCAAGAACAACGAGGTTCAAGGCAATTATTGAACATTTTGCTAATTAAGTATTATAGTACGGTTTTTCCGTTTTACCAAGTAACTCGGTAATTTTGTGCTACATATATAATCCGGTTGTCCTCATCTGTGTTTTCCTTCACTACAACAGTACTACACTTCCTCGTACTGCTTATACTTATACTCTATTAGTCTCATAACCTATTCAGGTGAGTTTGTGAAAACTTCACGACATTTTGCTGTACAAGTTACAAAAAAATCAAATCAGAGACAATGTGATGGTTAGCAATATGCATCGAAAAGAATATACACTATTCAGATGTCGATTCCTAAGCTTCTAACTTCTAACTGGCAACTACTCAATAGTTACTGTCTGTATCGATCAGGAAATAAGCATCGGAAACTTGTTGAAATACTTCATGCTGAGAATTCTATATTTTACCAAAAATATAATATTGAATAAAGCTCATTATGATAATAATACAATTACCATATCCTGTTCCCGTTAATCACCTAGTTGATCATTCTATTCTATTTTCATAATCACTTGTGAAATTATTTAGTTATGTAACATTGTTCTTCGATCGATATTCACTGAATTATTAAATAAAACAACAATTAAAAGCTGACGGGAATCAAGCTTTCTGTCTTTTGATTATATAGACTAGCCACCTCAAAGAGAGTAATTTTTATATTAATTATTTTTATAGAATGAAAAGGCAACGTTAATGACTGACGACATCTTTATTAAGACGAAGGTATGTTTCATCGAATACCCTGTATATAATAAATTAAGTAA